TAAAAAAAAAAAAAAAAAAAAAAAAAAAAAAGGCAGTTGTTTTCTACAGTAACCAGTGTCTGTGATATTTTTCTCATGTAATTATTCCACGTAAAAATGTTCATATATTATAAAATTAAAAATTTAGATCCATATTTATATGCATACGCAATGCATACAGTTATGGTCCTTATGGATAGAGAGGAAAAATGGTAACTGAATTTAATTTATTACAGAACATATAATCTTTGTCCATACTAATCTAATGTTGAAAGGCAGAATGGATAGTCAAATAACACTGTTCTTTCGTGGAAAATAAAAAACAGAGGGAGACTGAAGGACGTGTTATTGTCAATGAACCCTGTGTTCTGTCAACCATAACGAATATAATAATTTATATTTTAATTTTATCAATTCCATGCATTTTTTTTAGATTAATATTAAAAAAAAATGGAAGTAACGGGAGGCGTCTGCATTATTTTTCTACAAATATTGAAAAGTAGGCATGGAATCTTGTCCAAATATCTTGCTAGAAAAAAATTGATGTTTCGCCTGAATTAATTACATGGAAAAGTCTGAAAGAGAAGAGTAAGAATTTCAAAGAAAAATATTATAATGATTCTTACCGATTTATATTTAATATATAAGGGAATAGTAGAGAGGAGATTAAGACAATTTGTTGTCTAGTCTTTCTTTGATGCAATGGAGGAATTATTTGGGCCAAGTAAAACAGATAATCACAAAAATCCAAACTTGCATAGATGTTTATAAAAAAAATATTACAAAGTTAGATTATACATACATATATATATATATATATTGCAATATGCGTGAATTGTTAATGATAAACTTGATATTAAAAAGTTGTTTTTACGACGGAGTTTTTAGAATATAAAAACATAAAAATTGACAATTAAGATTTTATAAATTTAATTTTTTTTTTTAAATTAGTGAAAAATCAACTAAAATTCAAAACATTCATTTTATTGGATGTACAAATATTACGAAAATAAAAATAAAAAATCCAAAATAAAACAAAAAACAAAAAATTCAAAATAAAAATTATCACCTCGTATCCTAAATTATTTTGCTGGACAAATATAACTTTATTAAAAATTATTTATTATTTAAATTTTCGGTAGGTATATTAAAATTTTAAAACATATTCAATATTTTATTAATAACAATTATTGAGTAATAAAAACGTGTTATGTGAATCAGATGTTGCATCAAATAAAATTAGCCTAAATCCAAGGTTTTTTTTAATAGCAACAGCCTGCCTACTCTCCTCTTTGGCCACTTTCACAATATTTTTTGTTTATTGTTCTTGATTTTGGTTAAAGCAACCTAGAAAAAAAAAATGAACGGGACTAAATTATGTTATATATTTTTAACATATGATAAGACGTGTGTTTTTTCGCCATCCATTAAAAAATATTATAAGTTGCAATTTTTTTCATTGGACAAAAGAGATATATCATTTTATCAAAAAAAAAAAAGAGATATATCTTGTAATATTCTGTATTTTATCCAAAAGACAATCTTTTAGACAAGTCAGATACACATAATTTCTTCGCTTTATTTCTAGTTTGATTGCTAGTTGATTACTTCCATTTGTTTACCATCGTATGTATTTTTAATTAATTAGTATATAACTTTCGGTTAAAGTGGTCAAATATATATAAATTTAGGTAAAAAATACATAAAATACTCCATGATTAATAAAATATTAATAATATATGAATTTTAAAATGAGAGAGAGACGAATTATCTAATAGTTTTTAAATTAGTTATACGAGTTTTTTTAATTTTATGTAATATATCATTGATTATATATATAATAATGTTTTAGAAGATTTTTATGCACGTTTCCCCAAAATACATACGTGTTTTTGGAACAAGACTGGGCCTCATGGGCCATGGCCCACACACTTTCGGTCTGCACCGGTTTAATATTTTTGTGGAATATTAAACCGGAACAGACCAAAGATATGGTTAAGCTCCGGTTCTCAGTGAACTGGTTTGAAATTCCCCGGTTCGAGGAGCGGTTACACGAAAGACGCAAGTCCCGCGCATAAAATCGTGTTTTCCCTACCAGCTGAAATCCTCTTCCCCACCCCCAAAATTTCTGGAAACTTCATCTTCTGATCAATGTCATCATCATCATCATCAAACCCTAGCAGCGACGAAGAGTATAGATTCAGTGATGCATCAGAAGAGTTTTTCCACGATTGCTTGCCGACCCACGACGATTCTTACCGTCCCTCTTCCTCTCATGCGGTTACTCCTCCCGCCGCCTCAAATCTCCGGCGGCGGAAATCTGTTCCTGGTCGGAAATTGAAGTTTTCGGTTCAGAATACGGGTGCTTCTACTTCTTCTTCATCCTCCTCTGAATTTGGGAGAACGATATTGTTAGAAAAAAGCGACGAGCTTTCTATCGCTTGCGGGAAAATCGAGGAAGATGGTGATGGAACTGAGTCATTCAATGACCCATTCGATTCGATTCAGGCACAAGGGAAGGATTTGAGTGTAATTAATCCGTGTGGAGAACATGCTGAATCGTCTGGGCAAAAAAGGGACGATTTGGATGGGATTAATTCGGGTACGGACTGGGTCGACCCGTTTCAGGTTGGGGATATCATGAGGTCTGAGAAAACTGGGGAATCCACAGTGACTACGGTGAGTGACGAACGAGTTGGCGACTCTGCCGAATCGGCGCCGCCGCTCCGGGAGCCTTCCTCGACACATTGGTCTCTGCTGGCGTGTTTGGTCGGACTAATGATCAAAGCGATAGAGTTTGAGGTCAGTTTGATGATTCGCTTGATGACGTTTCCCCCATGGCTGTGTTATACCTGCTGCGTCTTTGTTCTTGATCCGTTTGGAACAATGAAACGCAGCAGACGCTATATATCGTCAAGGGTTGCAGAGATCTGTGATGTGATGATGGATAGTGCGGATCACTTCTTATCTTATTGGTTAAAAGATTACAAACCCATGTTGAAGGTTGTGTTCAAGTTTGGATGGGGTTTGTTTTGGGCAATTTATGTCGGTATAGTGTTAGTTGTCTTGTTGGTTTTGGCACTTCTGCTCAGTGGGTTTGTGATGAGGCATTTGACTGAGGAGCCACTTGTAGTTGAGGAGAGCTTGAATTTTGATTACACCAGGAACAGTCCTGAGGCTTATGTCCCTATAACGTCATGTGTTGGTGTTGGCTGTGATCATAGTTGCAAGGAAAATACTGAGACGGGGAATATTAAGGGCTTGCGGGTTATTCCACAAAATCACAAAATAGAGATCGTCGTTTCATTAACATTGCCGGAATCCGAGTATAACAGAAATCTTGGCATGTTCCAGGTATTGATATGAGCTATCTAGCTCTAAAATGCGTTGGTTTTGCTCTGGTTTAGGGATATGCATCTATGACATGCTTGAAAGTAGTTCCTGATATCCTCTTGAAGTTGAATCACAATCTTTTTACGTAACATTTCGTGATGGATACAGGAGGGTTTCAATCCAATGGAAACTTTTTAAATCATGTCTTGCTTTAGGCACTCTTATTGATGTAATCCTTCTTTCTTGAAGGTTGGGGTGGACTTCCTATCTACAGATGGTCAAACTCTTGCTAGTTCAAGGCGTCCATGCATGTTGAAATTTAGAAGTGAGCCTATTCGTCTTGTCCAGACACTCCTCAAGATTGTTCCACTAGTCACAGGCTATGTTTCTGAAACCCAAACATTGAGCTTGAAGTTCGAAGGGTTCGTTGAGAAGGAAACTCCCACTGCTTGTATAAAAGCAGTGGTCGAACAACGGGCAGAATTTCGTCCTGGAGCTGGTGTCCCAGAGCTCTATGATGCATCCATGTTGCTCCAATCTGAGCTTTCTTTCTTCAAGAGGATCATATGGAATTGGCGGAAAACTTTATTTGTCTGGATCAGCATGAGCATATTCGTCATGGAATTACTTTTCACATTGGTGTGTTGCATACCTTTGATCATTCCCAGAGCAAGGCATCGAGACCGGACAGCTTCTATGAGGAGCAATACTTTGAATCTGGACTGTCAAGCGGAAAACAGGTGAATCTGAGGCTGTTCCAAGAAGGTGGGAAATTCTCAAACCAAGTTTGTATCTTTGCCACTGGTTGCTGTACCTCATGTTTGTAGCACTTCAAAGTGAGACTAGCACATTCTGTAACTTTAGTTTCTCATGCTTGGTAAAATCCTTTTGATAAAAGCGTAAATCTTTGTGTTCTGTAGGGAACTATACAAGGTTTCCATACTGACAAGTTACCGAGAAATTACAAAGAGGGACCGTAAATTAATGTGAGGATACAAAAGTAATCAAACAAGAGAAGGATTCTACACAGGAACATCGTGTACTCGTTTATGAGAAGATCCAGTTTTGGAGGTCTCAAGTTCTGTTTTCTCTGTACATCTTAAGAGGTTATAAATCCAGGCTCCAGAGACAGCGCCAAGAGTAGGAGCAAGCAAATATATCCAAATCCCTTTGTAACATCCCCACACGAGTGCAGGGCCTAAGCTTCTCGCAGGATTCATCGATGCGCCTGAAATTTCGCTGCAGAGATGGATTTTCTGATGGTTAGCTGAATAGATTCATGCCGTTGTAGCTCAAGTTTGTGAAGATTATGTGTGTTTCAGAATGAGATTGAGGAAGAAAAGAGAAACTTACCCGGCAAAGATTACATTCAGTGTGACTGTAGCACCAAAGATCAGTCCGGCTAGTTCTTCAGACTGAAAGATTTTGTATACAATATTAGGATCGATATGCCAGTTCAAGAGAGTCAGTACAATGTACAATCTATGTTTTGGCTGATTGAAAAAGGTTTGTAACTTACTGTTCTGCTGTCAGTTGCAATGGCAGACACGACGAACATGAGGAAGCCGGTGATGATAAACTCCATCACGAACGCCTGAAGATCAGACCCAGACGGAGATGACCCGAGAAAGACGTCGTGTTTCTTGCTGCATACGTCGTTGTTCAAATCGAACAGAAGACGGAGAGTTGCAGAGGCCAAGGTTGATCCTATGACTTGAACAGCGATGTAAGGAAGGATTTGTTTGAGAGGGAACCTTCTGACAGAAGCGAAGGCTATTGTGACGGCTGGATTGAAGTGGGCAGAGACATGGCCGAGGGAACAGACAAGAACCATAATCACTAGACCCCAAACTATGGCTATGCCCACAAGAGTCACCACATCGTGGCGTTGCGCATTTACTGCAATGGCGGCACAACCGGCGAATATCAAGTAGTAAGTCCCCAGGAGCTCTGCCACAAGCTGCAGACACATTTGGTAGAAGGAAAACTTCAATCCATTTTGTTTGTTCATCACAAGGCTATTACTCAGTAAATAAAGAATCTTGAACACTGATCAGTGTTCTCCGACAGGATAAGGAAGATCAAAAACGTTACCTTTTGCAGGAACTGGACAGAGAACAATGGTTCAGATTCATCTTTCTCGAAGGGAACAGAAGGATGAGAAGTTTCTTTAACAGTAGAAGAAGCTTCGATGTTCAGAACAACAACACTTCCACCATGGTTGCTTTTGCTCACAGAGATATCCTCCATTGTTGGAAATTCTGAATAATGAAACAGAACTGTTCTTTTTTTTTTGAAGAAGAAAAAGAAGAGGAAAAGGAGAGATCTTTTTCGTTTTTGTTTTTTTTTTTGTCTTAAAAGGATTTAACTTTCTGGTGCTTTGAGACAGAACCGAGACACTGTCCCTTTTATAGCTTTCCAAAAAAATAAAAAGTCAAAGCTTTTTTTGCTTCAACTGTTTGAAATGTTCCATCTCCATCACTTGCATCATTACATTGTTGGTTTTATTTTCAGGGACCATAGTTTTTTCTTTTTCTCCACCAATCCATAAAATCTATATAATATTCTTTCTCATATAAATAATGTAAATATTCGATCTTGATTTACAGATTAATCAAATCGAATAATAAACTTAAGCGCAAGTCGGAATTCAAAACGTGCTGAATACTGTTGACGGGTTTCGGCCTGCAAAACAACCAAACATACAGCTCAAGCCAAATGGATATTAGTTTATCACAACCACTTGGATGTCAACATAATATATAATGCAATGTTGATTAGTATTAGTATGATTAATTAAAAAAAAACCTAATAAACTAATATTTAAATATAGTTATTATATTGGATGTCAACGTAGAAACTCTGGTTTTTATCAGTTTTGCGACTCCCCTGAAAGAGGAGAGGCTAAAACAGGACTGATTAGTGAGTTTGCAAAAACCATAGGTTATATATTTTTTATACATATGCTATACAATTGTAACTATATATATATATATATATGTAGTATTTAATCGTAAAATGTCTTTATATTACATGGATAAATACACCGAAAACACACATGTACTTCATCAATGATTATTACAAAGGTAAGGACTATACTTCTGGTTCTTGGATCTTGGATGATAACAGTGTATAGTTATGTTTCTTGTTTACATGAAACAACAAAACTATGTTCCAATGTCCAAATCTAAAGATTCACCGCTATATTTTTCCATGAAAGTTGTTAATTTTTTCAACTCGGTTCGAGTTCCATTTGAAAAGTTGAATATATATTGTGAAAGATATAATTGGGTCGAAAGTATGATAAACTCTAAAATTATAAAAAAATATATTAATTTATAAATATCTTACTACTACTTTTTTTAATTTGAGCAGCAGAAAAAAATCTCGTTCGCCGAAACTTAAAACATATATGCATATATGTATGCATGTATAAATTGCACAAGAGAGATTTGGTTTAGCCCTGTTATAGAGACGGAAATGGGGGGCCATATGTCAGTTTTATAAGTTTCGGTTAAAATTACAAGAATCTAAAAGAATATAGGAAAATATGTAAAAGGATATATAAGTACATGAGATCGCGTCTGCGAAACGCGACGCCACCATTTTTATTAATCTGTCTCTTGGTGGAGCTCGAAGCCCGTGAGAGAGCATCACAAAGAGAAAAAGGCTTCAACAATGGTGAGGTTTTATCACATTCGTTTTGTTTAGTGTCCTTCTCGTTTCTATGCATCTTTCTTGGCAATCAGCTCACCTTTTAGGGTTCTTTTTCCACAAAATTTTGGCGGAGGAAGATCTGAAATTATAGTTGATTTTGTCTGGAAATTATGCTGTTTTTCAACTTGTTTTTCACTTTTGGAATGTATCAAAAACCTTTGTCGATGTTTAATTTCAGTTCTGATGAATTTATGTTTGTGATTTTTGAGCTGATGTTGTTTATTAGGTTGTAAGAATCTGACCATGTCTCTGCAACGAATAGAGTCTTTTATATATATATATATATAATTCATAGTGTTGCAATCAATCAGTAAGGAAAAGGGTAAATTTTTTTATCAGAGAGTTGAATCATTAGGAATTTTGGGTACATCTCTATGAATCTCCGATTCTGGTACCGAATGTTTTTGCTAATAGAAGGGACTGAATTCTATCAACATCTGTAAACCTGTGGCTTGCTTTCTGGTTGGTATGATGCCCTGATAAAGTAATTTGTCTGCGTTTATAGATTGAATCCGGGCCAGAAATACCGTTTTGAGTATCATTCGTACAATTTCAACGATCTCTGTTGATTTCGATGCGATACTTGCTTACAGTAATCTTCTTAGTGGGATCTGTATTAACTTTGTTTTGGTGCACTTTACCTGCTGCTTTGTAGGCTGATCCTGAATTAGAAGCTATCAGGCAAAGGAGAATGCAGGAGCTCATGGCTCGACATGGGGCGGTAATTTTTTTTCACCGAAATGTCTCGTTTTGTTCAAGAAAGGGCCGTATTTAGTGAATTGTCTTGCTTTTACTTTATCAGCAGGGAAATCAGCAGAACAATGAGCAGCAGAAAGCACAGGATGAGGCTAGGAGGTATATGCCTTTTTTTTTTGGTTGAAATCAATGGTACTGTTTATTAAAGAATTCTTCTTTTCGAATCGAACATAGTCTTTGAATTGGAACAAACTCATGTAGGGATGCGGAGGAACGTAGGCAGATGATGCTTACTCAGATATTGTCCTCTGAAGCTCGAGAGAGACGTAAGTTCATTTAAACTGCTTTTGGATTTCCAGCTTAGTGGTATTTAGCATTATGATGTTATAGTTAACATAGTGATCTGTTTCATTTCTTTATATCCCGAGTTTTGAGCTATTAGATGCAGTTTCTCCAGCAGTATACGTCTAATAGCTTCATCCACTTTTTTTTTTTTCCCGGTGTATCTGCTGTGTGTTTATTCCTATGTTTTTTATGTCGACTGACCGGAAACTAGATAGTGTCTCACACCTATAGAATTTGAGTTTAGGTTCTGTTAAAGCTTTTTCTTGTTACTCATGTCACTTTAGTAGTATGTGATTAACATTTCTTCTGGTCGAAGCACGACAAAAGGAGGTGGATGGATGCACTTGATAAGATCATGTGTGAAGGTTATAAAAAAAAAGCATATTGATTCACATCAGTAGTATGGATGATGATGATGATTGCCCCATTTTAATTCCAACTTGGAAACCTTAGGCCTTTCACTTGGAACAATGATGATGCATGCGCATTGCCCCATACCCATTCCTACTAAATCATTAGTGATTGCCACCAGGCATTGCTAGACATGTAGAATTGTATCGGTTTTTTGACATAACTCGGCTAATGTGTCATCTGTTTTTCTTTGCCTATTAATACTTCTTCTCTTGGGTTTAAATAACAATGGCTTTGATTTTATATTATTCTTTCTGTAGTTGCTCGAATTGCTCTTGTGAAACCTGACAAGGCAAGAGGGGTTGAAGACGTTGTCCTAAGGGCTGCTCAAACGGGTCAGATAGTCGAAAAGGTTAGAATAGAATACGAAGACTTCTGATGGCATTATCGTCTTTTTAATAGTTTCGCCGTCGATTCGAGACACTTTCAGTGAAGGTGTAGTAAGAATTTTTCACACAAAAAAAACAAACTTTTTTGTTCCAGGTCTCGGAGGAACGGCTTATATCACTATTGGAACAGATAAACAGCCAAACTACCAAACAGACAAAAGTCACTGTAAGTAAGCCATATGATAGGAAATGACATCCTCTGTCAATGTTCTTGCCAGTTAATTCTGTCTTAATGGTTAACAGATCCAGAGACGTCGAGGTGTAGACGACGACTAAATCGAAGGTGTCGAGGATAAAAATGCCGCTTGCTTGTATATCGAATGGAAATCGCCTTTTGAATTGGTGAGTTGCGACGATTTTAGTTATGGTATTGTGAATCCTTTGATTGGGAAGAAATCTGAATGAAACTTGACATCATTATTGTATCGTTTTTCCCTTTTTATTTTGTTTCTCATCCTGAACTATTCTGAGATATCGTCTGATTAGAAAATGAAGAAAAACCTTAGCTTTTTTTTTTATGTTTAGTGGGGCTTTTTCTATGTAGCTGTATAGGCAGTAGAATAAGAAAGGTGCCATTGGTGAATACTTTGATTAATGTATCTCCATACTCTGAGCAGTAGGGCTGATGCTGAGAATTTCGGGTATCCGAATTTGAATTCGAGAATATCGAATGTCCCAAGTGTTTGGTATCCGCGTTATCTCCCGATATTTGGGTATCCGTAAATATCTGCAAATCCTTCATCGTTCGTCGTTCGCCCTTGATCTCCCTCCCCTGCCTCCCAACGGTTCTCCTGCAAGAAAATGTATTTGGAGACCGTAGATATCGAGGTCGAGATTGTTCAGAATTTGGAGACGGAAGACCAAGGAAAAGAGCGGTGGGTGCTGAGTGTGAGTGAGGACAAGGGACATTGGTTAGAGAGTAGTAGAGCATGTTCGGGTATTCGAAGATATCCGAACGGGCGAGCTACAGAAATCGGGTATCGGAAATTTAAAATAGGTTTTTCCTCTCCCATCGATTGAGTAAAGGAGGGTAAGGAATCGCTTTGAACATTTTTTTGGTAGGGTTGGATGTTTCGGGTTTCATTTTGTTATTTGTTGGGTTGCATTCAGAAATAGTTTATTCGGTTCTATAAAAGTAGAATTGAATCTTAATCGGTTTGGTTTGGTTTTGAAGTTACGATCTTGTTCTATAAAAGACAAGAATGAAACTTGTTACCTACTATTTATTTTAGTATTTATCGGTTCGGTTCAAAGACGATTTCGTTTTACAAAAACCAAATTAAAATGTATATATACTTTTGATGATACTGTATAATATGTATCAAGATATTTACGCTACATATATACATACACCTATACATTTGTGTGTCTAACTTTAGAGAGAATCCGGCTCTTCAATTTGGATTTTGCATCCTCGAAGACTTGGTTCGGATCTGACTGAAGAGAAGTTCGAAGTGATCATATGTGGAGGCCGTACGGTGAAAATATTCATTCGTTATATAATTTATTTATACATAAATATGGATTTATATTATATTTATATTTATATTTGGTCCGACATCTAATCCTACAAACAAAAAAGATGCATGTTCTTTTTGTCTATTTTAATTTGCCAAAACTGAGAGTTCAATTTACTGCCTACCAACATCTTCCACCTACTACTATTAATTAGATAACACCATAGTGTATAGAAATATACACATATACGTATATATATATATAATTATTAACTCATATATACCCATGTTCGAGTTATTAGACATTAAATAACATAATTATTTATATATATTAGTAGAACTATTTAAGATGCATATATATAGAGATGGTTTTTCGGTATTCGGTTATTCAATTTTTTTTTTTGTTTTATAAAAATATATATCAATCGGTTATTATATTATATTCAGTTTGGTTTTTTCGGTTTCGATTTGGTTTGGTTCTAATTTTTATGAAAAAATAGATCTTAAAAAAATATTTATTTTTCGAGATTTTTTTTTTAATTTAATTTGATTCGATCCGATTTTGAAACATTAGATTTTTTAAAATAATACCGTTTAAAAAAAATTAAACCGTTTGAATAAAAAAATACTACGTTTTTTTATGTTTTTTATTTTTTGTATTCATACCAAAAAATAAGAATAACCTGATATTTAATTTTTTTTTAAAGAGTAAAAAACGGAAAAAATACGAGAAAACAAAAGTTGTAAAAGAAGGAAAAGAGGAAGAGCCAAGAGGCAAGAACCCAACTACCGTTCAGATGAGGCTGTAGAGAGAACGACGTCGCATCCGCCATTTTCGCAATCCTTCAAGCAATAGCTTCTTCACTTCAGATCTCTCCACCTTCTCTCTCTCTCTCTCTTCATGTTCTTCTCCATTTCTAGGGTTTCGCTTTCTCTACTTCAGGCCGTTTCCTGCAATTCGATACCGTAGATCCCACCGTAGGTGAAGGACGACAGTTTGGTTGGCTTCGTTCCACTGTGTCTCAGAGTGTTTGTGAATCCATTAGAAATGGCGGTTCCGGGGCCTATTACGCCTGGTCAGGTAATTTATTGTGGTGTTTAAGCTCGATTCCCTTTTGGTTCCCTTCATTCCGGGTAACTCCGGTGGAGATTTGGACATTTAGATCGATTATTTTGCGGTTGAATCTGATTTATTGCTTCATCGTTCGGCGTTAGATGAGTCAGTGACATTCTCGATGAATTTGATTGATCTTCGTCTGGTAGGGGCATTGGGTAATTTAACTCTTGGTTACCGTTCTGTTATATCATTGATTTGTGTTACAGATTCGATTCGAATTGGAGCATCTTGTTCTGGATTTGGATCGAATGTCGTAGTTTAATGCGTGTGAAATTAAGGAGCTTACTTGCTTCAAGTACTAGTACGATTCAATTTCATCCTGTTTGTTTGCCTTGGGCTCAAAGCAACACACTTTTTCTTTTTAGCTTCGAAGATTTCGATTGAATCTCGCAGCTGCCATTGGTGGGAACTGGAGTTTTTGGTTTGGATGAGGATGAGAAAAACTAACCTTTTTAATTGGCCTGAAGGAATGGAACTTTTTGTGGTTCCCGTTATTTTCCATTGCATCATTCTCAATCCATTAGCTTTTCCTTTCTTTACTTCCTCAATTATTTTTTCTTGTGATTACAGATCTCGTTTCTGCTCGGAGTCATCCCTGTTTTGATATCATGGATATACTCAGAAATTCTGGAGTACAAGAAATCTGCATTGCACCTGCACCCTAAAGTGTATGGCTTTTAGTCTTATATGAGTATAGTATAATCTGACAGAGTATTTGTATCGATTATTCTTTTATGTATTTGACGTATCTCCAACCCTAGTTTTGTTTTCATTTGACTAGTTACAGCTACTAACATTCTGCCCATTTGCAGTCGTTCAGATAGTAATTTGGTTGAACTAGGAGAAGTGGCAAACAAGGAAGATGAAGGAGCTGTTTTGCTGGAGGGAGGCCTTGCAAGATCTGCCTCTTCAAAGCTATATAGTTCATCTATCAAAACAAACTTGATGAGGTTGTTATAGCATATATTTTTTGCCGTGAGGTTTTGTGTGTTTTGATCTCTTATTAACCATTTGTATCATGGCTGCTTGTAGGTTTTTGACGCTGGAAGACTCTTTCTTGCTTGAAAACCGAGCGACCCTGAGAGCAATGTAAGCAACTCAATTATAGGCAATTATAGATTCACGCTGATCTCCACGCTCTTGCATGACGATTCACTTCTCTTGTCAGGGCTGAGTTTGGAGCAATTCTTTTGTATTTTTATATTTGTGACCGGACAAGTTTGCTTGGAGACTCTAAAAAGGTGCCTTGCTTTCCCTCTACCCCGGAGTTTTCTTTTTTCCTTTTTCTCGATTTTGGGTTTTGCACCGTTATGGTTTAAGGAATTACTCTTCTGACCATGCATCTTTTATTTTTTGTGGTCTTTCTTGGACAGAATTACAACAGGGACCTTTTCCTCTTTCTCTACCTTCTTTTCATCATAGTGTCAGCAATGACGTCCTTGAAGAAACATACTGACAAATCACCGATAATGGGAAAATCAATTCTGTATCTTAACCGTCACCAGACTGAAGAGTGGAAGGGGTGGATGCAGGTGATGGTTCAAATTTCACCACCTGTACTTGCCATTGCCATTTTTCCGCTTCTTCTCTGCATCCATCTTTGCTGCTTAATATGACCTTCATCTGCTCCTGTTACTCTGATTAATTATATGATTTTGTGTTCTCTGTTGCATATTGTTGTAATCGATTTTCATGCCAATTTGTGGCTCTATGCCTTTTCAGGTTCTGTTCCTGATGTATCACTACTTTGCTGCGGCTGAGATTTACAATGCAATCAGGATCTTCATCGCTGCATATGTCTGGATGACGGGATTTGGCAATTTTTCGTATTACTATGTCAGAAAGGATTTCTCCCTTGCACGATTTACTCAGGTCAGATCATCGGCTCTGGATTTCTCCCTTGCACCATCTGCTCCTTTCAATGGCTCTAGATGCTCATGAAAACTTTTCACTTGGTCCAGATGATGTGGCGGCTTAACTTTTTCGTGGCATTTTGTTGCATTGTTCTCAACAATGACTATATGCTCTATTATATCTGTCCGATGCACACTCTGTTCACTCTAATGGTGTATGGAGCCCTCGGTATCTTCAGTCAGTATAATGAAATAGGATCAGTGATGGCTGTGAAAATTGCTTCGTGCTTCCTTGTGGTTATCTTGATATGGGAAATCCCTGGAGTTTTCGAGATTTTCTGGGGTCCATTAGCATTCTTTCTGGGTCAGTTTCTAACTTTTCTGCATAGTTAGAATTCTCGGTCACAGAGATGGTGGAATTTAACTTTTTTTTCTTAAATATCCATTGAATTTGGTTATCGAATTTCTGTCCTTAATACAACTGCAGGGTACACGGATCCAGCTAAGCCAGAACTTCCACGTCTACACGAATGGCATTTCAGATCAGGACTTGATCGCTACATATGGATCATTGGGATGATATATGCCTACTTCCATCCCACTGTAATTCACAAACTACGATGCCCGTTTTTTTTCGTATCTTCTCTTCACAGGCGCAGCTAAACCTCGTTTACATTTTTTTTATCTCAGGTGGAGAGGTGGATGGAGAAATTGGAGGAATGTGATACTAAGAGAAAGATGTCAATCAAGGCCAGCATTGTCGCAATTTCTTCATTCGTAAGCTTAGCTTAGTTATGCTTCTGGTTCAACTGGGTTCTTTTTACCGTTGATTATTCAGATCTCCGGGCTGTGTTTCCTCATGTTCAGGTTGGTTACCTATGGTATGAATACATCTACAAGCTGGACAAGGTTACATACAACAAATACCATCCATACACATCATGGATTCCGATCACGTTCGTACTAAGATCTTTCTTTTTCTATTAACTTCATGACCCATCATCGAAAACTGTCAATACTGTATAGTTTCTTTCTATCATCTGACTCCGGCTTTGAATCTGGATCACAGTGTATACATTTGTCTTCGGAACTGCACACAACAGCTAAGGAACTTCTCACTGACACTCTTTGCGTATGTTTTCGCAATCCTTCTTCTCTGCTTTGGTTGAAATTTAAAAAACGGTTTTTATGGAGAGACACACCCACTCTTTTTCTGATCTCAGGTGGCTTGGCAAGATAACACTGGAGACCTATATTTCTCAGTTTCACATCTGGTTAAGGTCGATTATTAATCTAGCAGTAAAACGGGTAAAAGAAATGAATTTTACTCATTCGTCTCTAGAATTACGTATGCATTTTAACACGTGTTTCAGATCGAACATTCCTGATGGGCAACCTAAGTGGCTACTATCCATAATCCCAGAATACCCGCTGCTCAACTTCATGGTCACCACAGCCATTTATGTCTTGGTAAAGCGATTCAACTCCGTTTCTCCTTTCCTACAAAACGGATTTTCGGTTTTCAACCATTCCTTTTTTTTCCTTCAGGTGTCTCACCGGCTCTTTGAGCTTACAAATACATTAAAGACGGTTTTCATACCAACGAAAGACAACAAGCGGCTTCTCCACAACGTCATTGCAGGGGCTGCAATCTCGTTCTGTCTATACTTCATCGCTATCGTGATTTTCCAAATCCCGCATTGAATCGTAAACTTTGTTGCTCCTTAATCGATCTTATGTTTGGTTTTCTTATGAAACCGTTATATCTAATGTGTCTGCTCGATTCTTTTTCCTTTTACAGGGAGGAAGATGCTAAAACTCTGGAAATCGTTCATTCATTACTCACAAAACTTTGGAAAAACAGGAAACTATACGTTCGGAATTACCCACAAAATAATAGATTTTGTTTCCATGTCCCAGCAAATTTTGAAGCTTTCAAAAGTGAAGCGTCATCTTCCAGATGATATTCGAGTCGAGAGGTTTGAAGCGTCATCTCAGGACAGAACTTGAACTTGTTTCATTTTCTTATCTGTTGTAATCTTGGCATAACTTCTATACATATATATATATGATATATTAGTCCATATGTTTTTGCCAATTTGTTTTGTAGATTGCCACAATCGAGTGAAGTTAAGAAGAGCAATTCAATTACAAGATTTTCTGAAAAATATTAAAGTCCATTGATTTTGATCAAATTTACATAAGCATAATCATAACAAGCCCATCAAAGGGCAGATCTCACTCTCTTGCACGACAAACCCATGGAAAGAACTCACTTGCCGGGAACAAAGTTAGTGGCGTAGGCCCAAGCATTGTTGTTAACAGGATCGGCCAAGTGGTCGGCCAGGTTCTCCAACGGTCCTTTCCCTGTAACAATGGCTTGGACAAAGAACCCAAACATGGAGAACATAGCCAGCCTCCCGTTCTTTATCTCCTTCACCTTCAACTCAGCGAACGCGTCCGGGTCACTCGCCAGTCCCAACGGGTCGAAGCTCCCGCCCGGGTAGAGCAAGTCCTCGGCCTCTCCCAATGGACCATTCCCCGCCACTCTGTAACCTTCCACTGCCCCCATGAGTATAACCTGAGTTGCCCATATGGCCAAGATGCTCTGTGCGTGGATCAAGCTAGGGTTTCCCAAGTAATCGAGCCCTCCCTCGCTGAATATCTGTGACCCGGCCTTGAACCAGACGGCTTCTCCAAACTTGACGCCGTTGCGAGCCAGGAGCTCGGGAAAGACGCAGCCGAGAGCTCCCAGCATGGCCCATCTGCAGTGGATCACTTCCAGCTCGCGGTTCCTGGCGAAGGTCTCGGGATCGGCGGGGAGACGTGTCCCAGCCGTAGTCTCCGGGGAATTCTCCGGTGAGGTAGCTCGGTGGCTCGCCGGAGAATGGGCCCAAGTACTTGACTCTGTCGGGTCCGTACCATGGGCTTCCGGATGGGCCGGAGGGCTTGGCGGTTTTGCGCATGGTGACACGTGCTGTTCCGAGGATCTCGGAGGCTGTCGGAGAGAGCTTCACCGCCTTGCCGGCGAAGGATGGAGAGGAAAGCGCCATGGTTGAAGCAGCCATTGCAATCTTTTTTTTTTTTTTTTTGGTTTTCTTTGAGAGAGAGAGAGATGGAAATTGATGGTGAGATGGTTGCCGAAATATATAATGGGATATAGAGTAAGGTTTGTTATCTGTGAAGTATCTATATCTGTTTGCTGATTGGATTTTCAGATTTGGTTTTTGTCGTTTAGCTGTCCTACGTGGCTGTCTCTCCTCCACCAGCTCCTCTATATTCTTTTATTACAGCAACTCGAGAGCCGTCTATTACACCTTTGGGATCGTTGTTTTAAAAAAAATAAATCTTATTGTTATTAGGAATTCCCTTTGAATATATTTATTTTGGAATTTTATCTAAACATACGAAATAAAGTAGATTATTGTATACAATGCAAAGCAACAATCCAACAAATATAATAATTTATGCATAAACATTATATATATATATATATATATATATATCGACAAAATCATGTATAAACCATGAAAAAATCAGTTGAACTGCATCACCATCGTTTATTATCTTCTGATTCATAAATAATTTTGGTGTTATAAAGATTTTTATTTTCATTTACTCAATTTATGATATAACTAAGGTCTTTTATCTCGACAACAAAAAAATCATAACCATATCAATAGAAAAAGATCATCCGATGGATGATGATATTCAGGATTCCTAACGGATAGAGATATCAGAACAGACACGTGTCAATGTATTATTGGGTGAAATCAGAAGCTTTGACACCCTGTCAGCTATCAACGGAAATAAACTGAAAATGGGACCCACATTGCCATACAGAACAAATCCAAGCCCTAAAAATGACACTAACCAATAGAAATGGAGGCATTGAGATCCCACGATAAGACATTATTTCTCTTTTTACTCTCATTTATCTACACAAGAAAAATAAAAATAAAAATAAAAATCCCAAAATACGTCAACTCACAACGAAAATGTATTTTTTCATACGAAAAAAAAATGATGTACTAATACGCACAAATTATACATTAATCCAAAATTTATTTTGTCGTGAAGTCAATTGATTATACACGAAGGTATGGTTTTCAAAAATCATAAAATTTTATAAAAAAAATTCAACATATTCTGAAAAATAGTTTATTATATATGTTCATTATAACACATATGATGACTCTTATAAAAAAAACACATATGATGACTAGAGAAAATTTTAATATAATTTTTTTTTTCTAAAGAACAACAATTTCTGTATATTTACTATGGGTCAGATCCTATATTTTTAGTTTTGATATGCTAATATTTGGGAATTTACGCTTTGAGCTCACAAAGAATAATCCGAATTTTCTTATTAATTAACTCACAAAAAAAAAACAAATATTAAGCAATTTTTGAGTGATGCATGAGTTTTTCTTCTTCTTTCGCTTATTCATCCCTCCATATAAATACCCCCAAAAGCCCACCAAAGCCCAATAGCCCAAATTCCTAGTAGCAACACAAGCCCACAGGCCCATTTGGAAGCCAATAAGGACTCAGGGTGAAAAGTATTGGGGCCTAATAGTAAAATGAAATTAAATAATAGTGAAATTTGGAACAATTTTCTCTCTTGTAATAACACAGTGTATACCGCATCCAAATACAATAAACATGGCCACAAAACTATTCTAAAATAACAATTAACGGTAATCTAACTTTCGCTAAAAATTAAAACGTCGTCGTTAACTTAGTCAACCATCTATATATATATATGTATATATGTATATGTATGTATGTATATATGCAAAGCCACAACATCGCTGGATATTCAGGCCACGCCACTACCTTACATTTTAACATGATGTCGAATCAGGAACAAATCATGCATGATGATTGAATCTGTCCTCGTGATATTGTCTCTGTGTGTGTATATATGTACGCATGAATGTATCGAGATATTTTATATACGCTTTAATGATTCGCGTCACCAGTTTGATTATATCATTCTTATGTTATAATTGATATATGGAAATATTGTATTTTTATTAACTTTAAAAACGGTATATTAATATTTAACATTTGACAACTGAAAACGAAAAACGGCTATGATATCAAATTAGGCGAAGTTCCAATAACATCCTTCCGACCAAATTTTTGGAAAACCCGACAGAGACAGATGATCAAAGATCATAGTTATAAAAAACGATTAATTAATTAATTAATTAGTTAATTAATAACATTACTAATCATAATTAATGCTCCTCAATGGCCTGTTTAAACACTTACAACAATCATGGCTGTAAAAATGGGATTACACGATCTTTATTTTATTTAATAAATTTTAAAAAAAATCCGAACCATTTTGGATTATTATCTTTGAAGATACATAACGAGGTGTCTAAATGTCTGTTAATACGTTGATTTTGCTAATCTACAGTAAGTAGACTGGAATTTCTAAAATAAAAAAAAATGTGTATCGTAATTTTTTTTATTGTGAAAATATTTAGAAAATGCAAAATGGAAACACTATAATTATTTGTCAGGTTATTTAATGTTTTTTTAATCATTTTATGGACAAACATCAATCACAGAACTGTAAAAAAAAAAAAAAAAAAAAAAGAAAGCACGATCGTCTGTATGCCAAATGATCATTCATCATAATAAAAAAATATATATATTTACAGCTCTCCTCTTCGTATAAAATCAAGAGAAATTGAATTAAAAAAAAGGCAGAATATTCATTTCGTTTGTCAAATAATAATAAATAAAAAAAAGGAAAAAAACCTCGTGAGGGCCACCAGCTTTTCACGCGTGCTTAATTGATCCAACGGTCACTGTCACAACCATTTTATACGGAAACCATTCAGATCTCTCCGATCCAACGGCCCACATTGCCCCATGTTTGACTCTCCCCTGTCGCTCCCGTCACGCGTGCTCACTTAACGCATTTATTTATTTTTATACTTTCTTTTTTCAAAAACCTTTTTTAGCTTCACATAATTGACTTTTTTATACTAATTCTATTTTATATAAAAATTCTTAAAAATATATGAATTTAAATCCCTAAAATAATACATGATTTTTTACATGCAATTGAGATTATTAACAGTGTTACGTTTGATTTTTATACCTATACACATTGATCCATCAGCTGTCAAATATGATACAAATGTGACGGAAAAAATATTAAATATTTTTGTACGAGATTTTATGAGAAAGTGCTATTAGAGTATATATGGGTGAATTCTTTAGATTTGTTTAGTTTTTATGTTATTTTTTATTATGAAAATTTTACTTTTTGTGCAGGATTTTGGTTTAGTTCAAATTTTATTCGTTACTATTTACTAACAAAATTATTTTTTATTCATTTTTCTAAGTATTAAGTTAACATCAAATCGAATAATTTAGTTTTAAAAAATAATTATATAATCGATCGAATTTGTTATGTATAATGTTAGATATTATTGAGTTACATTGGATTTTGGTTTTGTATAAAGAAAATAAATTAAAGAAAAAAGTATTTCCTTCAAAACATTGTCGTATAAAAATTGAAAATGGACAAGCATGCAAAAACAAACAAAAACGCACAAGGGAAAAAAAAAATTACTCCCCCGCTCCCAGGCCACTTCTTCTATTTCTCTCTCCGCGTGCAGATCGTTCCTCTCTCACTCTCTCTCTAGATCTTCTGCTGCAGAGTCCTGAAATTCGTTCGGACAACCGTTGCTTCAGTCCCATTCTTTCCGGAGGAGATTCTGTCTTGTTCTTAATCCAAAGGTCTCGGATTTATGGATGATGATATTTCCCTCTTGTATAACTGTTTGAATTAGGGTTTGTCTTGGATGCTGCCCTCGTTTTAGTTTCAATTTTGATCATTGATCCATGGATTAGCTAGCTTTATTACGGCCTGTTTCTGACACGATGGCTGTGTTATTATCTGTTAAGGGAGAAATTTGATGTATCGGGCTCCTTTTTTTTATCGTGTTTTTGTCGGCGATTCTCATAAATTGTGTCTTATGGGTCGAATTTGATTGTGCCATCCTTCAGTTTCCTGTTCTGGAAAAAAAATATTTTGCGTAAAAATTCCGCCTTTTTTTTTCCTGGAAATTCCAATGCCATTCTATAATTTTGATGTCGGGTTTTGCATTGTTTCACTAGTTTTTGTTCTAATGCTCTCTATTTGAGGTTATGAACTTTTTTTTTTCCTTTTGATTTTATTTTACATGGGTCATCTGTTTCATATTCTGTTTCTTTCCGCTTTTGGACAGTTTATGTTTATGGCTTTCGGGATATCTGTTGTGGATTAGAACATGAAGACACAGGCTTTTAATGGTGGAATATGTTGTATCAATATCTCCTTGTGGTTTTTGATGCTCTGTTTTGGATTTCCTCATGTGCTTGATGATCATTTCACAGCCTTTTGTTTATTTTTTTAGGTTATGCAGTTTGGTAGAATAGAAGGTGGATGCCATTTCAGTATATAAAGATGCCTTGGACTTCCTTCTTCGTGTTTTTCAACAGGGCTTGCACTCGTTTGGTCGTCTTCTTCCTCGTGATTCTGTAATTGGGCATTTTCTGGTGAGTTTTCTTCCTGTCTCCTTCTCTATCTCTCGCCTTGGGCTTATGACCTGAATCCCCATTTGCATTGATCGCTGCCCTTTCATGTTCCAGTTCCCTTTGTTTTTGCCTGCGGATTAGACCGCTTATACCATGTTTCCAACTCGGGAATTTTGATGTCTGAAAATTTAGAGCCAAAACAAAACAGAGATAATGACTAACTTGTCGCCCTTTCCTCACATGTGTTCATGTTTGGTTTTCACCGGATCTTGCTCTTTGTTTCGCAGGTGTTGTTTTAAGGACATTAGAGCTGTTTTCTATTGATTTCTGTTTGCTCGGTGTGAGAATGTGCATTGCCAGAAACAGAAAGGAACAGCGAGCCGTGAAGGACGTAGGGAGAATTATAATGACTATATGTTTCGTTGCTAATTACCAATCAGTAGAAGTTTGTCAGGTACGGTTGCTCTAATCACACGTTAATATACTGAGTTTGTCTAGGAGACGAACATGTTTGACAGTTAATCGTTTCTTCGATCTTATTACGAAGTAGAAACCTAATGTACATTTTGTTTGGTTGAACAATCCTCGGTCTGTTACAGTTGTGTATGCTTTGGTCTTCTGTCCTAAAATTCCTTCACTCGTTTTCTTTTTCAATTTTGCAGGCTGAGTATTTCCGGCAGTTGCTTAAGCCTGTTACGTAGTCGGGTTTTAGTGATATACAGAAATTCGGGTTTCGGAAAGGCTATCGACACTAATTTGATCTGAAGAGCTGTGTGGAGATTTCGAATTCTGTTTGAAAGATTCTGGTTTGGGATATAGAGAAAACATCCGGAAATTCGGGTTTTGGGACAGGAAAAAAAAGCTCTGGTGGGGATTCTCGATTCGATATCTTCGGTGTGATGGGGGTAACTTGATTTGCTGTGCAGTTCAATTCTTGGTTTGGAGTCGGAGCTAAACGGCGGAAAAGTTTGAAAAGGTCATCTAGTAGAGTAGAAAGTAAGCAGCTTTCAGTTTGAGGTGAACAGTTTTCTGATGCAGAAAGATCAAAACTTTCACCGTAAGGCCAAGGAAAATCACTTCATGGATGAAATGGGTGACAGAAATATGCACATTCGGTATGATTCATCGGCATTTGATGCGGTGTTTCCCCCATGTGCGAAGCTTAGGCCGTTCAATGGCGTTGAACTCGAGCCTTCCACTGTATGTCCGAAGAACTTTATCGTTCTCGATCAAACCCACGACAGGAGCCAAGTGATGTACCATCCTGACATGACCCGGAAGCTCAATTCCCCGGCCCTGAATGCTTTCGCGAGTTCGTTTCAAAACGAGCATGCCCGGGAATGGTTTAGTAACTATGAACAAGAAGCATCCTCGTCCTCCTCTCATAAAGAGGATTCAGACGAGATTGATGCATTACTGAGCTGTGACGACGATGAAGAAGAAGAAGAAGAAGATGAAGAATATGATACGGGAGAAGTCTATACAGAATCTCCTTGCTCGGGCTATGGTTGGAAAGAGTCTGGAAACAGCAGCTGTAACAGTGGTGAGAAGAGACGGGAGAAGACGAAGAAGATGATGAAGATGCTGAGAAGAATTGTTCCTGGTGGAGAACAAATGGATACAGCTTCTGTTCTTGATGAAGCTGTTCAATACCTCAAGTCACTCGAACTCGATGCACAGAAGAAGAAGCTCGGAAATGGGAATTTCAAGATCAAACCTTGAACCCTTTCCCTCTCCCTCTGCCTTGAACCCTCTCTCTCCCCCTCTGCCTTGAACTCTCTCTCTCCCTCTCTCTCTCTCTCTCTCTCTCTCTCTCTCTCTCTGTGCCTCTTCAGGATGGTACCTAAAACTCTCTCTCTCTAGGATGGTATGTTGATCTCCATATTGACTTAGTGTTGTTTGCTTGGATGATGAAGTGACGCTTTAGTACTCAGTATTGGTCCAATCCTTTCATATATGATCAAAACATTTGATATGTTTGGTAACCTTTTTACTATATTATATAACTGATATCAACAACTGGGCTTCTTTTTTGTTCTTGGCCGTTATATATATATAATGCGACCCCGAAATATTTGATAAATGATGTATTATATACAAAAGAGTGGTCCGACCGAATGACAAAAGTGTAGGTGCACCAATTCAAGAAATTATTACACAATTCAGATGATGAAAAATATCACAACCCACAAAGTTGGTATTTAAATTTTTTGGCAACTCTCTATAACTGATTCCAAATTTTCGTAACCCTTCATCCAAATACACCAAATCCCCACAGAGGCAACTGCAGATTTTGTATCATGATTTTACCATATCCGCAATCCTAAATGATATAATATATGATTTTCTAAAGTTGAAAATAAATTCTCTTCTTTCTAAAAATACAAAGGCCGGATTCCATTACACATAAATACATACCTCACGTAACAAATTACTATCATCCATCCATCCATCAAAATCCAGCAGTGTTCCTGAAGAAATCATCCCCAGGCATCAACGGCCCTCCCTGCATATATCAGAGGAGCAGTCATACAAAACCAAAAGAGTCTGTAAGTACTTACAGTTTGATCCTTCGAGATCTCTTTCATGATTCCCGGAACTATTTCTCGATCTGTTGCCTGCGTTTTTTCTTCACTTGATGCAATCCAATCTGAAAAAAACGGTTTCGAAAAGAGAATGATCAAACTCTGTTCCCACAGAAATCATGAAAACAATAATTGCATCACTTTCATCATATATCTTTTCTCCTCCAGATTCAATCTCCTGAACAATATTTACGCATTTGGTTGATAAATCTGTAACCTTTTGAATTAGGTAAAAGGAAAAAAATGGGTCGGAGAAAGATAGAGATGGAGAAAGTGCAGGACATGAACACAAGGCAGGTTACCTTCTCGAAACGGAGGACGGGTTTGTTCAAGAAAGCGAGCGAGCTGGCTACTCTCTGCAACGCCGAGGTGGGTATCGTCGTTTTCTCTCCTGGAGGCAAACCCTTTTCCTACGGAAAACCCAGCGTCGAGGCTGTCACTGAACGATTCATTAACGATTTCGAAGAGACGGGCAGTGGTTGTAATGATGAAACCAGAGTTCGAAAGAGGGATAAACAGGACGAGATTATTGAAAACCTTGACCGACTTACCAAACAGCTCAAAGCCGAGAAGAAACGAGGAGAGATGCTTCAGGAGAACCTTGAATCTGCTGGGTATGAGAGATTCTTGAAACCCGTGGAAGAACTTAGCCTCGACGAGCTCAAGGAATACAAATCTGTGTTGCAAGCCATGCATGATGAGATCAAAGGTCGAGCCACTCAGATGAAGGCTTCATCCACTCTAATGCTTCTCTCCGCCGATAATGGCTCCTGCAACGCTGCAAATGATGATGATGATTATGATGATGATGATAACTAGGGTTTCCATAGAAAAAAGTGAGCCTCTCTATTTATGCAGTAACATCTTCCTCCTGATTTATATTACAAGTTAGGATGCGACAATATCGAATATCGAATGAATACTTAAGTCATTATGGACAAATACCGAATATCAAATGAACTAACTCAACTAACTGTCAATTACCTTTGAGCATTCTCCACTGCAATTCAACAATATCCCTTCAAGAGAAGAAAGCTCCTAACTCTGTATCTCTGATAATTCCCCACTGCATGTCTTTGAATCCGAATGGAGACAATAAAAAAATGGAAACCTTCACCGATAATCCAAGCAAGTTAACGATCATAGACGTCCGAATGCGGCTTCATTTAAAAGATTCATAGAAGAATGATACAGAGAAAGAACGACCTAAATGGAAAAAGACAAACTTCTAAAAGAGACCAATATACACCTTAACTCGTCCAAGAACAATATTACTAAACAGGTAAAGGGTATACTATTCAGAAAAATCCGAGTCAGTTTCTGATTCCTCGCCCAATTCCTGCACAAAAAAAAAATTACCATGAAAAACTCATCCTTGTGTTTAAAAAATCAAAGAAAACAGTAAATCAAAACGAGAGAAAATTTACGATCTGGGTACCTTTCTCTTGGTATATTCTGCCATGGCTTGATCAAACTCTGCCCTCTTCTCAGTGGCAATATCGTAGTACTTCACTTTTTCCTACAATCAGTAAAATCAAACAATCAAACGGTTAGTAATATCAATCAAGTTACTTGATCAGAAACCATTTCATCTTTCTAGAGGTTATATAAATGGCAAACGGAAACCCTTTCGAGAGAAAAATGTAGAAGAAGATGCTGTTCATTTAAACACCCACCCTAAAGAAGTTAGAAGAGAAGAAGGCCTTCAATCGCAAACTACAAGCACGAGAAGGAATACTGACTGAAGATCAAAAGAAAATCTAAACTATGCTAACATTGATGGCTCGGAATCCTTTCACTGAAAATGCAACCATAATACATCATCATCATCACAATATTCATATTACAGGTATTCACATGTTTAGCACATTACTAGCGAGCTATTGTATAAATTTGGCAGATGCTAGACAAAGTATTGACAACCAAATTCTAATAAGTGACGAAATTTTGGACAGGGACAGGGAGTGAGGGTAGATGCGATGCGAAGGTTACCTCGTAGGACATAATTTTCCATTTCTCTCCACATGCCTTCCCAATCTAAATGGAACGAAGAACAAAAAATCAGTGACTGCACGAAAGAAGTTTTACCATGAAATATGCAAGGTATATTATCTACAACCTCGCGCATGGACTTGACATCTGGATTCTGCTCTTGGTATTCCTTACGAAAATCCTCCCTGTAAGCAAGACAATGAATCAAAAGTATAAAAAAAAAAGAAACGTGAATACGAACTTGTTCTGGACTGTATAAATCTTCAACTGAGGCAGTGGGGAGAAATATATGTCGCGATCAATAACAAAAGCTACAGTGTTCCCAGTAAAACAATGAGTACTCCAGTTATGATAACACCATTGTATAAACAGAGCATATATATATATATATATAGCTCACAATATTGACATAAAAACACAAAATCACTAGATATATGTAGTACAAATGTATATTGAGTTGCCCATTGGTGGTGAATTTCGTTTCAAATAACCACATGCTTATACTCCTGTGATAATACTCTTTGCATGCCTCTGAAATAACCAGTTCAGAAAGACAAAGCAACCGAACTCATGCTAATGAGAAATGCACAGTTCGCTAAGAGAGCGGAGGGAGAGCTTATATACGTAAAAGGCATCTCCTTTAGAGTATTATCGATATCAAGAAACAAAGGGATAATGACCGAATTCGCAGAAGATACCTACAAGAAGTAGAAGAAAGCAGTGGGCGGTTTCTTGGGAATCTTATTGTCAACTCTACCGGATTTCTTCTTCTTCTCGTCTCTTTTAGGGTTTCTCAAAGTCTGGACTCTCAATCTTGAAGACTTCCTCACTACATCTTTTGATTTTCTGCAAAAAAAAAAAGTTCCAAACACAGCTTCAACAATGATCACCAAAATTCATTATCATGATAACAAAACCTAGCTTATCTTTCTCTTTCTTCTCACAATTGACAAGTAAAAGAGAACGAATTCTCGACAAAATCACTTCCGACCATTTCAATCTTCAAAGTATTGCAATACCCACCATTACTACTAGTGAAAGTTTCTCGCTCACTGAATAGCACAAGCCTATAATCTCAACACAACCTATTTTGCTTCGGTACAATTCCCTACCTAATCATCGAGCAGAACCTGAATCAGAAACAGAACTAGAAACCCTAGACAGAGAAGAAGACCAGAGGAAAACCCTAGATTATGAACGCGTATCGGAGAGAGATTAGCGAGAAGACATACAGATTAGAGCCTCCGCCTGATGGATTGGAAGCTTTCTTCGTCATTCTGTTGTCTTCTTCTCAGTCCCTGTCCAAGATTTTCTCGCTGTTTTCCCGGAATCCGCACGCTTCTGTTCGTCTGGGTTGTGTACAGTGAAAAAACTTCCCAACGACGTCGTATCGATTTTGTTGAAATTTTTCTTTTTGGAAATTAAAAGTTCCAAAGTCCTTTATACAAAAAAAAGTCTCGAACTTTTTATTTCAAATTTCCCAACGACGTCGTATCGATTTAGTTCGTCTGGGTTTTGCCAAGTGGCATGATGACAGCAACAAATCCTACAACACAAAAAAAAAAATATACAAAAAAAAAAGAAATTTACTTGGGGAATCCATCAATGGCAACATCTCTGCTTCTCAGTCACTCCACAGCATTCTTCTGCCAATTCCACAGCTCTCCTTCTTCCTTCTCCTTCGCCTTTTCCTCCAAGAAACCCAATTCTCGCTCCTTCATCTCCGTCAAGGTACGAACTTTCCGTTTCGATGCCGAGAAAATCTTGTCGGATAACATTGGGAATTGCCCAGAAAACGGAGTTGTCTGTTTAATCTTCCGATTCTTCGTCTCTGAAATTGAGGGCTTTGAGTGTAAAATTGTGTCATCTCTGTTTGCGGGCTGTGTTTTGGTTGATGAGAAAATGAAGGAGAACGTGGAGATGGAATGATAATGAACAGCGGTAATGGGTTTTAGGTTTTTTGTTCGAATCTTGAATTAGAAGTACTTGCCCTTTCTGCAATATATGTAACTCTCTGGAATTGGATGATTTGGCTTCATTTATCGATAAATGATTCACCGAGATCTGGTCACATGCTTTAGGTTTTTGTTTATGTCTCCTCCGTGGTAATTCGTCTCAGATGGAGAGAGGTGAATCAATGGAAGACATTAACGAGAAAGCAGAAGAAGCCATGGAGAAGAAGAAGAAGGTGTTCGTTGCAGGAGCAACTGGAAAAACAGGGCAGAGGATCGTAGAACAGTTGTTGTCTCGAGGTTTCCATGTCAAAGCAGGAGTTCGTGATGTGGAAAAGGCGAAAACGTCTTTCAAAGACGATCCTTCCCTTCAAATCGTAGGGTTTTTTTTTTCTCGTCATCGAATCTCCATTGCCTGAGATCGAAAAGTTTGGTCATATCATCTGGTTTTCATCGTTTCTTGTAGGTTAAGGCAGATGTAACGGAGGGTTCGGAGAAGCTAGCCGAAGCGATAGGCGACGATTCAGACGCTGTGGTTTGCGCCACCGGTTTTCGTCCCGGGGTCGATCTTTTCGCTCCTTGGAAGGTAGATTTTTCAGACAGGAACCAGTCAGTGTTTTGAACAGATGAAAATGCTCCGAGGAATGAAACCGGTTCTTGTTTGTGATTGATGATTAGGTGGATAACTTTGGAACGGTGAATCTCGTCGATGCTTGTCGGAAAAAGGGTGTGGACAGATTCGTGCTCGTGAGCTCGATCCTGGTGAATGGAGCCGCAATGGGGCAGATACTGAATCCGGCTTATGTATTTCTCAACGTCTTTGGACTGACGCTAGTCGCTAAGCTTCAGGCCGAGAAGTACGTGAGGAAATCCGGCATCAACTATACCATCATAAGGCCCGGTGGACTTAGAAATGATCCCCCGACGGGAAACGTCGTCATGGAACCCGAGGTAAGGTCACGACCCTTTTCGAATCGTTTTCTTTCGAGAAAATCCCGTAAAAAACACTGAACTTGTTAAAATGTTGCACGAAAAAACTATATTATACTGTCCAAACTTCCGATAAAACTCGCGAAATTGTCTCTGTTTTCCACTAAAAACCCGTATTTGTAAATTCGCTTCCAAATCAATTCTTTGACAGCTTTGACTGAATTTGTCGGGTTCACACGGAATAATGACGTGGCAGCCAGTCAATTTTTTGACATCGGTTCAGCCACGTCATAAAATGTTTTCCACGTCACATAAAAATTTTAAAAATAAAATAATTTATATGCATATATGCACATATACGCTCATACATATGTACAGACGTACAGTTCAGAATGCCGCTTTTTTCTGAGTCCAGGTTGCAAAACGTTTATGTCTGTGCGGACACTCATATATGCACATACATATATAAACACATATATACACATGTACACATGTATATTCACATACAGTTCAGAATGCAGCTTTTTTGTTTCTGAGTCCTGGTTGCAAAACATTTATGTATGTATATGCATTATACACTCATAATTATATGTACATACTATACATACATACATATATACACATATACATACATATATACACATATATATATATAAACATATACATACATACATACATACATACATACATACATATATATATAAGCACATACACACTTATATACAGTCCAAGAGATCTTTGATACATGTCGGAATGCCGGTTTTTCTGAGTTGATCGTTTAGAATGCCGCATTCTGGCATATAGTTTTCATGTTTTAACCATCAGATTCCACCGAATCTAACGGAAAACATGTAATGAAATATTCGGATTTTTTGGTAGGATACTCTATACGAAGGGAGCATCTCGAGAGAACAGGTTGCGGAAGTTTCCGTGGAAGCATTACTTCAGCCCGAGGCACCTTTCAAGGTCGTCGAGATCATCGCTCGGGCCGACGCTCCAAAACGTTCTTACAAGGATCTCTTTGCCTCCATTAGAGAACGTTAAAGGAAATATTGGATGATTGTTTCATTGTTCTTATATATGTCTTCAGACAAAACCTTAAACCAAACTTTGTGTATGACGACGACATAAGGAGAAACAAACGAGGTTTCTTATTTTATTTTGAAAAAAAAAACTGATATCGGTAACCCTAGTTCCGATACATCGGTACCAAACCGAGAAATGAAAACGAAAACGAAAGCGAAACACAAACTCGGTGAATCAAAGCGAAACCATTACAGATCATTCTACTGCTTTTGGAAAGCTCGGATAGAAAGATCCTCTTATTCCCCATCAATGGTGTCAGTTCACCGATCCAGACGACACCCTAATCCCGATACCCCGGAATTAGAGCCTTTGCGCGAGCAGGTCGCACAAATTGTCGTGCAGCTCGACGAAAGCATCGTGCATGCGATGCCTGTTTTCGTCGCTCAGATCGTCGATCGGAGCGTTCCACCATCCGTTCCTCGTCTCCTCGACCTCTTCTTCCTCAGCCTTAGCCCCCTTCTCCCTCTCCACTTCCAACTCATCCCCCAGCTTCTCGTAATCTTTGGCCAGCTCGCTGATCCGCTGCGTCCGATAAGCCCTCGTCACGAGCGTCGCATTGTCCATGGACGATCTCGGCAGGTTAGGGTTCTTGAACCGTTCGGTGACCGCTTCCATGGACGGATGTCCGAACGTGAACGGCGTTCCGGATTTGGAAAACACCAGGAAGGCCACGTCCACGTCGCACATGACCACGAGCTCGTTGGCCTTCTTGTATATTCCGGAACGCCTCTTTGAAAAGGTTATCATTCGATCCTCTTCGATGTTGATCTTTTTGATTTCGATCTTTTGCTTTCCTTTGGTTTTCTTTTCCGCCATTGTTGGGTAGGATGGAGAGCTCTGTGAGGAGGAAGAAGAAGAAGATGAAGAAGAAACTTTTTATTGGAGGTTGTGGATACATGCATGCATGAGCGTGGGTATTTATAGTGGAAACTACAAAACAATTGGGATCGTCATTTATAGAAATATAATGATTTTTCTTTTTTTTTGGGTAAAGTTTAGCCCAACATGGGAAATATAATGATTTTTTTTTTTTTGATGATTTATCTTTTGAAGTCGCCGGTCAACGTCTTTTGTTATTATTTTTCCTAATTAATTAACACAAATTGTTAGGATTAGGGAAAGTTTTCAAGTTATGTCTGATTTTGGGGGATTCGTTTTGTTCTTTAGGAATGAGTAGCCGTCAATGTCTCTCATTTAAATGAACTGCCGAATGATTAATTTAATTACTCTCCAAACATGTTTTAAAAAAATGAAAAAAAAAAAAAATAGAGAAATTTAAGCTAATATTACAAAAGTATCGTATTTGTTGCATCTCATTCACACGAAATGGCAACAAAATAATAATAATAATAATAATAATAATAATAAATTTAAAAAAAACTTAGGTTAAAAAAATATTACCAATTGTGGCAGGAAGATTATAACCATCCTATGATTTCTAAATAATATACGATGAAAAGTCGATTACATTAGCTAAACATTAATATGCATTTAAAAATTAAATTGATGAGTATAACACAGTAAATAAATAAATAAATATCAGCAATATCTTTTCCAACAAAACATGAAACTTTCTGTTGATGTTCCAAAAAAGAATCGTGGTTTATTAGTAAAACAGGAATTGTTCATAGATCGTTCCCCTAACCTTATAAAATTGTGTGAATTTGGTTGCAAATTCCCTTCCATTATTATTGTAACATTTCAGCAATTAGACATGACATACATAACGTTGAACAAAACTGGTACACCAACCAATAGGAATGCAATCCTAAACCGGCATAACCCTTCATCAAAATCAAAATTTCATAAGGAGATCCACATCCATATATGAACTTCATCAAAAATCAAAGTTATGGGTGATATATATATATATATATCTATACATCTTATATTTATAGATCTGTAACATGATCCAAAATTTCGAATACCTGATCTGAATTATGAATGGAATGTTTATCCATCGATGAAATGGATACGAATCTGAAGATGGTGAAAAGAGGCGAACGGGCGAGTGCGCGAACGAATGACGAAGAATTTGAAGAAGGCGAGGTACGAGAAAGCTAGCGGTGTCGCGAGAGAGTAAAAAGCGGCGTCGACATAAGACCATCGGGCAAAATGATACTACTCGCAAGAGAATATAAAGATTTATTAGGGTTCGTTTTTCATAATCACGTGAGATCACGTGAGATCGGACATTCCAAAGTCATATATATCTTAATTATACGAGATTGAATATTCCAAAATAACGGATATACAATTAGTGCTAATCATATACAAAATTATAATAGTTTTAATATCACCGTCGTCTCAATCCTAAATTTATTTAGGAACAACATAAATCCTTTGTTTATACTCATTTCGATTTTAAATTAAATCTTTCCGTATTTGCAACTAGGGGTGTAAAACGAGTTGGCCCGACCCAACCCAACTCATACCGATCTGAAAATTTTTTAGCTCAGCCCAACTCAACCCGTATTTTAGCGAGCCAAAAATACATGAGTCCAACTCATATCGTCTTAGCCCGCGAACCAAACAAACCGACCCACGAACCAAATATATAAATTTTAAAAATAAAATTTTAATACTAACAAATATTTAAAACTAATTTTAATATTTTAAAAATATTTAAAATATTTAAAATATAATAAAAAAATAAAATTTTAAATAAAAACAAACTAAATATGTAATAAAAAATATAATTTGTATATAAAAATATTTTAAAAAATATTAAAATTTAAAAATTTTAAAAAAAATTCTAACTCATTTGATCCGGTTTTTTCTGAGCTCAAATATTATGAGCTCGGCTCGTGAACCGGCCCGCGATCTGCGGTTCGTTTTACACCTCTATTTGCAACACTAGATATGTCTACCATTCCCTCTCCTCTACACTAACGTTCATATGTTCACTATTTTTCTACCCAAAACATCTATCACAATACGTTTTACATGTTTAAACCACCAATAAATATTTTGATTAGAAAAATAGAGAATATTTGAATGAGTATGAGAAAGATAAATGAGTAGAATTTAATAAAAGTAAAATATAAAAAACTACAAAAATCGAAATTAAAAATAAAGATAAAATAAAAACAATTTACAAATTTTAAATAAAAGAAAAACACACTTTTAAAATTCACTGGATACTACAACCATAAATTCCAAATCTTTAAAACAAAAAACTCTCGAATTCGGAGATAATAATATCATGAGCTTAAACATGGATAATATATAATTATTGGACCGGATTTGATTGGCATAATTTCCTCCCACCTCCTAATCAAACCAACTTTATAGAGAGAAACATACCAAGCGGATTTTGACGACGACAAGACCATAACATAAGTAAACAGAACAAACAAAAAATGGTTTCATAAGCAAAAACAGTAACCGATGAACTGCAAAAAAAAATCCAAGAAGATCTCAATTCAACAACCTCTTCAGTACCACTAACAAGATTCATAAATAAGAATATCCAACACAATCCAAAAAAAGCAAACCCGAAAACCACAATTTCCGACTATTACCTCGAATCAGAAGAAGTTTTACATGAACAAGTTAGGCTTCGAAGCCTTATAGGTGGTCTTGAGCTTCCTGGTCGGCGGCCTGACCTTCCTGAACACCAATGGGAACTTGATCTTGCTGTTGTGAAACTGTTTAGAGCTCTCTCTCTTGCAGAGCTTGGCCGGGACAGTGGCTGTCTTGATGATTTGGATGCACGGGAACCTAACACGGTGTCTGGACGCCATCTCGTTGTACATTTGTTCCACTGCTCCATTCAGGGTTATATCACGGAACTCCTTGTACATGTTGTGGTAGCCAGTACGACTCTGGTACCTCAGCCATATGCCATAGTTCTTTATCTTTGTCGGATTCTTCTCAAAGATCTGTCACAAGTAATTCATGCAAGTTGGTTTCGGGTTTTCAAGAATCGAACTTTGCATAATTCACACAACCCAGTAGAGCAAGCGATACAGATCAGATTCACTGTAACACAAACCCCAAAGGCTAGTAGATCTGATAAAAGTTATATACACTGATGTATAACGGAAAATCTTTCAGAATTGCAGAACAATATGTAGCAGGAATCAAAAGAACCCTTTTGCAGGAAGGAAAAGAGGAACTCCACATGATAACGGTCAAATTTGAAGGAATCAAAAGAAGAACCCTTTGCAGAGATGAAGACAGACCAAAGCCAGAATATGATGCCCGAACGGAATTAGGTCACTGATTCAAAGGCATTTGCGATTAATGCTATAGTAATGTCCAGACAACAAGCGACAACCACCAGAAAGATCATGAGTGAAATGAAATCTTATTGCTCTAACGCCAGAATCATAAATGGCTTCAGACCCTACAACCATTTTCGTTATACAGACCGGGATCATCGAATTAAGTACCTCGTTGATGGCAAGCATCTGTCCATTGCTCTTCTTAACCTTCTTCAGTTTCCGCAAAAAGTACCTGAATCCAAATACAAACCGTCAAAACATCAGGAAAAGAGACAAAAATGGAGATCAAACCCAAATTCACGGTTAAGAGAGATTGAACTCGGTTACTAACCAGAACTTGGACTTGGCACGAACCTCGTTGGTTGCCCAGAGCTTCATCCGGTAAATCTTGGGGTGCTCATCGGTCTCTGTCGGGAGAGCTCTTTCGACAACCTGATACTGATGAAACTGCAAAAGGAGACGCAGAACACGAAATCCGATCAGATTTGTAAACCCGGGGAGAGAAAGCACCAATGGCGACGGGGGGAAAGCTTCAAAAACCTAGCGAAATCACGAGATTACCCTGAAAGTGACCATTTTCTTGTCGAGAGGACAGAGTTACGCCGTGAAAGACAACTCTGCGCAGACGATTGAATCCTCTGAAAGACAACGGCTAGGGTTTTGCGGTTTATAAATGAGCTCGTCAGAGAGAGAGAGAGAGAGAGAGAGAGAGTGCAGGAAACCCTAATTTCAGGTTTTGTACAGAAATAGCCCAATGGATGTCCATAAAGAAGCCCGTGGATATTAAAAGGGCCTGAGACATTTTCAGACTATGGTAAAGGGAAAAAAAATTCTAAAGACTAAACCCATAATTTTACGCGAAAATCACTAAAGAAAAATAATGGTTTTTGTGTTTGAAGTTAAAAAGAGTTTTTTAATTAGAAAAAATTTCGAAAAAATGAGACTGCCATATTTGATTTTTTTCGAGACGTCGATGATTAATTGAATCTTTTTGTATTTTATTCTATTTGAATTTTTTTATTAGATTTGAAAATTATTATAAACTAAATAATAAAAATTATTATTATTATTAGAGTGATTTTTTTACAATCTTTCACATAAAATAAAATTTGAATAATGAATACTAGCGCTGAATTATATTTGGGTAGAATTTAGTTTAAAATATATAAAAATATTTTTCCTATTTAATTAATAATATTGGAAATTTTATTCACGCGTGTTTTAAACTTTCTCCAAAATTCAAAAAGTTATTTAGAATTTTTTTTTTCGTTTACAAGGTTGAGAAATTTTTATCCTATATTTGTCTCTTAAATTAGCCTTTCAATTTCAAGGGACAACATCCGACCACATCTAACATTTAACCTCAAAAATATTTCTCCACCAAAGAAACCTAAAACTCTTTTTTTTTTTTTTGCTATAGAATTTAAATCAGGATATTTACAAAAAGTGAAAAAAAATTTACAAACCAAAATAAATTAATCTTTGTAAATTATATTAGCTCTCAATATTTTTTTATCACATTTTCTTTCATATCTCTTAATTTATTCTTTCCAAAAAAAAAATTACAATTCTTTTCTATTTTTCACTGAATCAAAACCAAATCAACGACGTCAGAATTTTGGGACAGCCATTATCATCAATGTCATCGAAATCTTGCAACCACCATTGTTATATCTTTGTAAAATTTAAATGTGACATTGTGACATTATATCTTGGCAAACAAATCATTTCATTAAAATTTTAAACATATATAGTTTTAAAAGTTTAATGTAATTATTTTTTCATGGTTCAAGGATGTATTCAATTTCTTAAATCCAAAATAATTGCAAGGCTTTCGATTGTGAAATTAAAATAAAATCATTAATCAAGAATGACCATAGTCAGGATTATAATTTCAATTGGGGTCCATACTCTTGCTTTTCTATGAGCGAAACCGTTTAGATGTCATATTCAAGCAAATAATATGATCGAGTTTATTTTATTTATAAGTGAAATTGTTTAGATGTCGTATTCAGGCAAACGATATGGCAGAAAACCACCAATATATAATAAAATAGGCAACTTGTGCTTGTTTTGATTTTGGTATGCTTGCATCAATATATACAATACAAGTCCATATATATTAATAACCATGGATAGTTTTTTTTTTATTTTATAAAACTTATTGGTTTGTTATACCATATATAGTTTTATTATTTTTATCATTTTTTTACGAACGATGATAGTCACAAAAACAAAGGATGAAGATGGTGATAATTTAATTTCTATATTGATATGCAAACTCTATAAATACGTATGTTTGAACAATTATAAGTATATACAAACATATATATACACATATATTTATACGTATGTTTGAACAGCTAATAGTCTAATACATAAGATATTTTAACAGATACGTATAATTCTTGGTCAATATATTATGTTTTTACTCAAAGGAGATTCTATTATGGGTGTTGATGCAATTTATACAGCTAAAAAAAATCAATATTTATATGAAAAATAGCGTGCCCTAATTCACAATTTAAAAGCCTAAATATAAAAACCTTTAAAAAAGCGATATGACTGGCTTGACTTTGAGGCAAGCAATCATCGAGCAGTAATTCCACGATGTCTTTGCGTGCATATGGAAAGGGAAATTAATGGTGTTACACTTTTGCATGCATGCATTATTATGACAGTTCATGAAAATCACGTGGCGATCATGCACGTATACATTAAATCGAATTAAATTGAGCCGTACCGTACAGAACCAGACAGCTCTTATTTTGACCCATTTATTTGTGTTTATTTATTTTCTCTCGTTGCTTTGAAAAAATGAAATTAGGGGTGACGTTTCGGTTTTCGGTTCCGTATTTAAACGGTAGAATAATATTTTCAGTTTTATAAAAATTGTACCAAATTAACATCGGATGTTACACGATTCGGTTTGGTTTCAGTCAGTTCAACTCGAAACGATATCGTTATAGAAGTACCAAATCATAATACTTACATGTATATTGATGGATAATTCGAATTTTGATGGGGTATTTGTCAGATTCGGTTTAGTATTTGTACGGTTCATTTCGAGAATAGTTTATTTAATTCTATAAAAATATATAACAAATAGAACTGAACGTTATTCGGTTCAGAAACATTTGTTAGAGATCAATACTACAATATTAAGTTATATACATTCCAACATATATATATATATTATTTCTTTCTTTCGTTGTGGATGAGTTTTTGAAATTTTAAATTCTAAAATAATGTTCTCTCGACAACAAAAACTTAACCCATAAAATTACATTTAGTATTCGATAAAGGCAATGATAGGATTGGTTGGTTACAAATACAATAATGGAGTACTAATCACACACACACCAAAAAAGAATTGATTATAGGCCATGAATCCAATATCTATAACGGGTTTATTTAATAGCATGTACAAATTGATAAACATTTTGAATTAATATGTCATGTTGGTCAAAATTCAATAGAATTCGTCATTGAAAGAGTTTTAATTTTGTTTACTTTTTTGCCAACTACATTGCGGAAATTACACTAAATTGACCATCCCTAAATTATACGATATTTTTTGTTTATACTCCTTTTATTTATTTATTTTTTGAAGAAACACCCAATTTTTTTTTTTTACATAAATACTTGGCAACAATATAATTTTCAGAACCGAACCTTATTATTGAACATTCATTTCCATTATTTTTTAGTCACAATAATAACATATTTCTAATACAGTTCATGGGCTAATTGTACCCTTAAAAGAACACAAGGACATTTGACAAGATCATTAAAAAAATCACATCATTTATAAAATAAATCATCATCTTCCACCCCCCAAATCACACCACACTGGGATTCTGTCTTCGAGAAACACTTAAATGACAAAAGTACCCTTTTGAGTAAACCAGAGGGGCATTCCCGGCAATTCAAGAGAGATTAGGAAATCTTGCGACGCGTCCAGTGAGAGATACCGTACACCCGTCCTTAGGGGAGATCGTGGGGCAATACACGATCTCATCACAGCCGTCGGATCGGATCCTCTTGAAATCCAACAGTGTAGAAAACATGGAGATGAAGAGGACGAGATGGTTGAGTGCGTAGCGTTGGCCCACGCACTGGTGCGGGCCCCATCCGAACGCCAAGAAGTTCCTCTTGAACAATTGGTCCTCTTGTCTCGACTCGCTAAACCGATCCGGGTCGAACCGGTCCGGTTCGGTAAACCCCTGGAATGACGAGTCGAATACTGATGGAAAGACGATTGTGCCCTTCGGGATGGTATAATTGTCGGTCAATTGGAAATCCCTCATCGCTATGTGAGGGACAAGTGTCGCCGGAGGTCGGTATCTTATGACCTCACGCGCCACCGCACGCGTGTACTTCATCTCCACGATCTGATCGGCGGTTATCAGAGAGTCCGACTCCGGAGACCAGATTCCGGCGACTTCTTGCCGGACTTTCTCCAGGACATCCGGGTGCGAGTCGAGGAGAGCGACGGCCCAGAGGAGTGATGACGTGGACGCATCCTGTGCGGCGAAGAGGAAGTCGAAGAGAAAACCGCCGATCTCTTCGTCGGCGGAGTGCGGCGGCGGAGGGTTACCAGCGGCGATCTCCCTCACGATCTCCGACATCCAGAAATCGATCAGGCACGACGGATCCTTCCCCATCGCCATCCTCGCCTTGCTCTTCTCCGCGCAAACCGCGAGCGTCTTCGCGAGCCGCGTAACAGCACGGCGAGCCTTGCCGAAGGCAAATCCCGGGAAATCGACCGGAAGCGCCATGGTTCCTACGTTGAAGAGATTGTAGTCAGTACGGAACTTTTCCCTCGCCTTTTGGTCGAGGTACGGTCCGGCGAAAACCGTCTGGGAGGTCTCGAGGTTGAGATCGCGGACGAGCTGCCGCAGCGCCACCGCTCCTCCGCCGCGGGAGAGCTCCTCCCACCGCCGGAGATGGCGGAGAATGACGATTTGCTGAAGATCGGAGTACGTTGAGAGAGCCTTGGGAGTGAAGTTAGGGGCGATCTGACGGCGAATGGATTTGTGATCTTCTCCGAACATGTAAATAAGGTTGTGTTCGCCGAAGAGCCGCTTGCCGAAGGGATGTCCGACGAGGAAGAAAGCATCGGGACGGACATTGGAGAAGATTTGGTGGGAGAGCTCGGTGTCTCTGATGTAGACAATGAATTTTCCGATGAGGTAATTGGCGCAGATTCCGGCGGATTCCGCCGCCGCAGACTGTTTGTCCCAGAAAGAAGTAGGGTCACGGACGAGGGGAAGTACGTTTCCGATGATGGGAGGGACGAAGAATGGTCCGGGAAGGTGACGTTTCTTGAGAAGATAGGAGAGTTGCTCGAGAAGAAGAAGAAGAAGCAATGCAGAGACAAGGTACGGCATTAGAAGGGCAAGCGTAGAAAGTGAAAAAGACATCATCTTTCTGGTCTCCTGTTTCTGGGTTTTTGATGGGTCTTGCTCTGTCTTTGTTTCTCTGTGTGTGACCGTATATATATATATACAAGGATTTGGATACTTTGAAGAAGAAGAAGAGGAAGATGGACTTTGTGTTTTGTCTGGTTCTGCTGGTTCTGGAGAGTTTCTTGGGAAATTGGATTTGGGTTGTGGGAAATAATGGTCTTGGAACAAGAAGCGACTCTGTTTCTGCGTTTATGTTCTTGAGGTCTTATGGTTGGTCCCGTCAGAGAGAGAGAGAGAGAGGTGGGAGGAGATTTTTGAATTGACCGGAATCTGTGTGGAATGGTTTCTCAAGAAAAACATGCAGCTTTCATTCACCCGTCCGTCCTTTCTAAGTGTACAATATAAGACTTGTCCTGTCATTTTATTTATTTATTTTATAAACCAATTGAGAGTATTCAGAGTTCATATCTGAATATTTATTTGTCCGACTTCAATTCAATGAGTTTTACATGCAAGTACACAAATCAACATTCAGAATTTATTACAGCGTGTCAATTTGGTAAATAACCAAATAAATTTGTTTTAAATTCAATTTATTAGCCGAACTGAATGGCATATAATTATAATTGTATCGAATCTCATTTCTTTATTTCTCTTAATAGCAATTTTTTTTTATCATTTTTAATTATAATCTTTTTGGAATTTATCTGTGCAGTAAATATGTGAAAATTTTGTTAAAAACATGATACGGTATAGTCAAGTTTCCATCCATATATCCTCCTGGTTGCTCCATTTGTCTGATTTTTTTAAACATAAAATAAAAATAAAATGTTTCTGTGAATACCCACCGATTTGAATTATTGGAAAATACTTATCACCAATTTATTGATAATTTGATATATTGGTAACTCAAACATGGGTTAGAGATCGAGCTGCGGTCAACTGACGTGGCACTGCTCAAGAAAATCGGATCATCATAATTATAAAAATGGCCGAATCTCATGACGTTAATTGCAATTATTATCTCTCTCCCCTCACCATTTTAATATTCATTTGTTTTTTTAATCTAATCTGGAAGTCCATTGCATCAAATTATATAATTTTCAAATATTCAGAAACTTAATAAAAAAAAGAGGACAATAATGAAATTTTTGTATGGACGTATGAAATATGACCAAAATACGTAAAGCAAAATCTTGTAATTTGATTTCGGAAAAATATCCTTTTTTTTTTCATTTTCAAAATTTTATCCAACAAAACAAATTGCGCATGTGGAGCCCCACGGACGGCTTTCATTAGGGACAACTTCTATTTTACCCTCGATATGCTATATTAACATCCATCCATACCCTTCTTTTTTTTACAAAAAAAATCAACTTCTATTATACCCTTTTCAATGTAAAATGACTAAAATACCCTATTTTATTTATTTATTTTTAATTTATTTTTCTCTAAAATCTAAGATTTTATTTCTCTCTCCTCTTTTTTTGGTTTCTCTCTCCTTCCCCTCTCTCTTGTCGAACACACTCTCTTGTCGAACACACTCTCTCTCCTCTGAAACTTTCAATTTTTTTTTTCAAATCCGTTAGAAATCAAAGCAAAATTAGTGGAAAAATAACGAAAAAGTTGGAATTAGGGCAAACAATTATAAAAATCTGATTTTTTTTTCGTGCACATTGATGGGTGTGAGGGATTATTTGATAAACATTGATTCTTCTTCCATTTTTGTCTTATAATTGTAGATATTTCTGAAATTTTATCCTTTGTAGTATAGTATAATCATAAATCCAGATCAGATTTGAGTTTTCGGTGTTGTTTTTAGAGTATCACTATATAATGGATCATATAAATAACCTATTTCTAAAGTTTAGAGTATCATTGTGTAATTAGTCATATAGGTAATCTGTCACGATTTACACCCTGTGCATTGGTCACAAGGTCACAAGTGTGCACAAAAGTCGGGTCACAATAAAAAAGAGTTGGTGACATGGTCATATGGTCACATGGTGATATAGTCACATTAGTCACAGGTCATTAGAATAATGGTTCTCATAGATCTCAAGGATGACACGGTACTATGTTCACAATATGGCCACATGGTACTATGTTTACATGGTCACATGGTACAATGTTCACATGGTCACATGGTACTATGTTAACATGGTCACATGGTACTATGTTAACATGGTCACAATATCACATGGTCACATGATTCAGAATAGTCACATGATATTATATGTTTACATGGTCACATGTCCATAGAGTCCAGAATAGTCAAATTGATCTACATTTTGTATTTATGCTTTCTACAGCTATAATGGACGGGTGAGATGAGAGATCGACAGTTGTATACTTTCTATATGATGTTAGGTGGATAGTGAATAAGAATGAAGAATATGAATGAAAAGAAAAGTTTATAGAAAACCAAAGTATGTTATTCTTTTGTCCCTCTGTGAGGTGACCTATAGTGAATTTATTCAAGAGTTATATGCTAAGATGAAAGTATAAAAAGATAAACAGAGATAAGGTTGGAGTTATTTGCCAAATATCAAAGAAAACAGAAAGCTGACTAACGTATAATACACGTTCATATTTATCTATTGGATAAATATATTGAATTCGATGTATGCTTTATGTGGAGATGGGAGAGGTACGTGTGAAAATTGATGGTAAACAAAACGTTGAAGATGAGCTTATAATTCCTGAGAGAACGCATAATTTTGGAAGACAAGCGGAAGTTGCGTACGACATTGATCTTAAACTCGAAATGTTGAAGTATAACAAACAAAATTGCTCATATAATGGAAGGCAGACGGAAAAGTGGGAGACCTATGTTATAACAAGAGTATTAACATCAACAATGTGTGAGAAAACGCATAATTTTTAATGAATAGAGATACATAAACTGTATAATAATTTTGTATTGTATTCCATGTAATTTGGTTCCATGTTGTATTATATTCTATATACTTTGATTTTATTTTACATATTAAAATACAGCAAATAAGTTATCTTATATGACTACCGATTGTGACCCATTGTGACCAGCATGTGACCAATGTGACCATAGTGCAATTTTACACTATGTGACCATTGTGACCGGATGTGACCTGTGACCAAGTGACAAAGGTAAATATAGGTTAAAACGTGTTTTTTAAACTTTGGCGTGTTATAACAAGGTATAAGGAATATAAATATAGTGGTAATGAGAGATTTATAAGACATTATAAGGAGTTTGTAATACAAAAACACCAAAATTGTCAAAATCCTTCATAAAATACTATGAACACATATGAAACACATATGTGAAGATTACTTTTGCACCAACAATTTGAAGAAATCCATTTTTACTCTTCAATATAATACAAAAGGGGTTTTATGGAACATGTGAAAGCATTCATGTTGATTCATTTGAAAGAATCGACAAAATCGGCCCTTGTGACCCACTGTGACTAACTGTGACCCAATGTGACCGAAATATTGTGGGACCCAGTTTTCATATGCAATGTTTTTTGTGGGGTCCAGTGTCATTTAAATGTGCAGAAATATTACGGTTGACAATTCAACTCAAGATTTCGGTGGGACCCATTTGATTATTATTTTTCAACCCAATTTATTCCTCTAATATTTTCCACCCATATTACGTATTGCCATTAAAAAATGGAGATTTTTTCTATAGGATCAATTCTTTATTCAATCTTATATTTTTTTTCTCCAATATTTTAAGCCAAAATTTTTTTCTATAACAATTTTAACTCGAATTTTTCTCTAAAATATAAATAAGTTCATATTTTTAATAAAAAATAAAAAGAAAAGTTCATAATTTAGGATGCTATCAAACAAACAAAAAGAGATTATAGTTAGAGTTTTAAACACCTAAATCCATATTTTGTTCTCTAACAATTTTAATCCAATATTTTTCCTCCAACGACATTTTCACATGCAATGTTTTTTGTGGGACCTATGGTCATCCAAGTGTGTAAAAAAATTACGGTTGACAATTGAGTTCAGATTTTCAGTCGGACCCATTTGATTATTATTTTTAAACCCAATTTTTTTTTTCGTCCAACATTTTTCAACCCATATTTTGTTAACTCTATAAACAAGTTCATATATAAAATAAACAAAAAA